CAACCAATCAGAGTGGGAACAGCCAGAGAACAAATGGTAGGGCAGAGGTATGAGGAACCACTCACCAGTCCCACAATGGCCAGCTCAGAGCCTCCTAAATAGTGAAGTGGAGGCACCCATTGATAGAACATTTGATGCCATCAGTAGAAAATTCTTACTATTCCCAGTCTCACAGATGCCTAGTCAAGTCAGCTTGTAGCAGTCTGTTGTCTTCTCTCCCTATCCCTCCAGCCTGACGCAGATGGCAGCTGAAGGTTACCTTCTCCTATGTTTTGTGTGCTTGTACATTGGGGTCAGACCCCCTTTATTTCTGATCTACCTGTTCCCTCCTTTTTGTGGCTGCTGGTAGATGTGTAGTCCCGAGGCAATAAATCAATCGCTATGCAATTATTATCTTGTCACATTTGGCTATCTTGCCACTCTCATTCCCTCCCCATGCCTGGCTCATCAAACCACTTAACCCTACACTGAACTTAATCACATGCTGAGATCTCATTGAGTTCAGTGAAACATAAACACACTTTTAAAGTTATGCATGTGTTGAAGTTCTCTGCTAAATGCAGGCCTCTCTCACTAGGAGAAAAGCAGGTATATTTTCTCTTATTAAAAGCAGTGATTGAGGATGTCTTACCTTCTGGTCCAGGGGGGCCAGCCACACCTCTTTCTCCTGGTTAAAAGAAAGGAAGCAATACAGCAGAAGAGCTCAGAACTGAGTTTGTCTACTGAAAACAGTTGGTCAGATTCATTGTATGTAATATACATGGGTAAAATGAAGCATTTTATGTTGTTGACTTCCTTTTTGTTACTTTACCTTTCATCCCAGCTGGTCCTGCTTTTCCAGGGATCCCTGGGGCTCCCTTTTCCCCTGCACAATACCAGAGACAGAGACTTACACATCTGACAATATAGAAAAGTGAAAAACTCCTTGCACCTAAACCAGAAGAGAACTCAACTCCAACCTCTGAGATTTTTTCAATAGCATGTCTAAGGTTCATGGGCTCAAATGTATTTTAAAAAAATTAATATCACCTAAAAGTGTTCTATACCCTTTGGATGATTTGCTTTGTGATCCACAGCCTTCAGGTATCCACTCCATATAATAGAAGCTTGGGGAGAACTCCAAGGGCTACAATTTTATTTTCTAAGTAAATACTTAGCTCCTGGGAATCTACCTTTCAGTCCTGCAGTTCCTGGTTCCCCTTTGGGTCCTGGTGCACCAGCTGTCCCGGGGCACCCGCGCAGAATGGTGAGTTTATCAGAACCATTGAGACCCACAATGCTCACTTCTGGAGGGACAAACAAGCCAATGAATGATGTTAACATGGTTTTGATTATCTGAAGTATTTTGCAATGTCTGGAGAGAAATGTTTACTTGAAATCAGAATCTATTAATCTTCTCTTCATTGGCTCTGCATGGAGGAAAAAAACAGTCAGTGCTGATGTTAATAATGAGAGATATCTAGTATTATGAATTCTTGTCTTCTATTGAATTAGACTTTGGGAGGAGCTTGAAGGGGGAACCTCAAGATGTTTTGTTTCAACTCCTGTAGATACTTAGCAACAGTGGATTTAGATTTAAGAAGCATAAGTGTGATTATTCTCATAGGGCTAAAGGAAAAGAAAATTGTTGATGAAATGCTTGATCATAGGACAGTAGATTGCCTTGGTCTGCAGGAAGCCGGGTTTGCAGGGTGCTAACAAGAGTGGGATAGCTGTTGTGTGGGGTCCTTGTTAACCTCCTTAGTAGAGGTTAAGTAGGAAGACCGGTTTAAACATGCAAACTGGCAATTGTTTTGACCAGCTCACAAAGTGGCTGGAATGTTTTCAAAAATTTGAAATTTACATGCAAAAAAAAAAAAAATCAAAATTTTATCACAACTTTTTCTTCACTGGTTGACCAGCTCCCTTCCTAGGAGGTGGGAGAAAAGCCCTGGGAGATGGGACATCTACGAAATTTCTTACAGTCGAATAGGAGGACAGGGCACTGACTTAAAAGCCCCATTCCTTTGTAAGATCTGCTAGCATGGGGCATTGCAGTGCTGTTCCTTCCTGAATTAGGAGTACTTTAAATATGAAAGCGATTTCCTGGCAAACATGTAATTAAAGAGAGGTGAAGGTCGAGTGGACATGTTGGCAACATAAGAGTAAACGACACCGTGGTAAATGACACTTGGGTAAAGGCATGTTACGATCATTTTGTAATTTAGTACTGCAAACCCAAATTGGTGATAAGGTTAAAATGAGTACAGAGCTGTGACTACCCCCAAGGAATCTATCAGAAGGGGTAAAAAATTTGGGGCCAAAGCTGGTTTTGAAGAAATGAAAATTCGGGTGGAAAATTTTATATATTTTTGCTGAAAAAGTGGAATGTTTACTGCACTGCCTACTGCAAAGAGGGAACCCCGTGGTGTCTCATGGGAGAGGAAGTCCAACCAGGCAGCTTGGCTGTCAGAGAAAAATAAGAGCAGGAGCCAGCTGAACTCCTGTAGGTGCTGCGGTGGAACAGCTTCAGAATAAAGCTATTTCAAATGAAAGTTTTGCGGGGGATTGTTGTGTTTTGGATGAAATCTTGCAATTTTCCATGAGCGACTCTTCCTTTTCCAACCAGCTCTCACGTCAATGGCAAAGAGCACTGTACCTGCATGAGACACACCTGCATGTACCAACAGGGCTCTTTTTTTGCATGACGTTGCCAGAGTTGTTTCCTTTGAAGGGTCGTAAGGACATCAGCATATTTCCAGGTGCATGAGTTGTACTTACCCTCAAAAGAAGGGGCACTTTTTTTATAAGAAGCTTACACAGGATTGTATTGTTTTCATTCACTATTCAATAGGGTATAGGAACCTCACCTAACCTCTGACAGCAATAAATGGGAGGTAACTTGTAATGAAGAGATGCTATGAGTCACCTTATCCTCACTGTAGAGTTATTTATTAGAGTGAAAATTTGAATAATTCTGTGCTATCCTTCCTGCCCCCTCCTTAAAGACTCTCTATCTTCAAACAAATTATGACTGGGTGCATTTGCAATTCCGCATGTGATAGATAGGGATCTAGCCAGATCATCATTGTTAAAACATAACAATGGATGTTTTACTCACCTGGGCAGCTGTCCTCAGCCTTACAGAACACTGCTGCTACCATGAATAAAGCAACAAGAGTTTGTTGTATAGCTCTCCCCATGCCGACTGCTGGTCTCTGCATCATCAGCTTGTTCACCTGGGTCTTGGCTTTGGCTTTAGCATTTCAGTGCTTTGACTGCTTTATATGTAGCAGATATACATACCCACCTTTGAACTTCCAGCCCCCACCACACATCAATTCCTGGTTTTTTTCAGCCATTTCCCATTAGAAGGCTGTGTGGAAAGACTGTATTTACTTTAAGTGGAAGCTATTTGTCTTTTGTACTGGGTTTCATCTGTTATCTAGTGGATTGCAAAACTCTTGCAAATGTTTGGGCGCTCTGGGTACTAATACTAATCTGGTCCCAGTAGAAAAAAGTCTTTTTTTCTCCCTTAATCTACACACTGGGACCAGATTAGTATGAGTTGTTATGCAAGCACAGAACAAAAAACAATGGTCTCCATCCCCAAAGGCTTATTGTCACAATTAAGACTGCTGTTTCTGTTTTTTCATGTGTTTTTTTTAACTCCTTTCTGTTTTTTTTCCAGTTGTTTACCCTTCTATCTAATGAATTCAGGCAGTCAGCGTGGTGGGTCACCCAGCCATGGTACACGCCACACAGCCAATGTACACTAGGACTGTGCGAAGTTTCAGGTGCTGATTCGATTCGGAGGAGATTCGGCCCAATTTGGTGTGATGTAGCGCGGGGAACTGGGAAGCAGTCCAGCTGGCTGCCTTCCGCCCCCTGCCAGATCTTGCACTGGGGATGGGAAGTCAGCCCAGCTGGACTGACTTTTCATCCCCAGCCTCTGGTTGAAACGTTTTGACTTTCAAAACGTTTCGACCAGCCTCATTTTGTTTCGAGGCTATTTCGAGGGCCTTTATTTTGCCCTGATTTTGCTGTTTTGACCTCAAAATTGGTCAAAACAGTGTCGGAACGAAACGGCTGGCGAAATTTCACACAGCCCTGCTGCTTTGTACTGATGTCAAATGGCCAATTGGAGATGTCTTAATTTTGCTCATGACAGGAAAGAGTAAGACATAGACTCTGGCAGCTGAAAAGATCTGTATGATTTTCTTTGTTGGGCAGCATGTGGTAGGTTAAGCTGGTCACAGAGCTCCTTTGTTGCCTGACTGTGGGTGCATCTACTCATGCAATTAATGCAATGTGATAAACTTCAGGGCAGTTTGGACCAGAGTACACTGGCCCTAGGCGCAGCATCTACACATGCGCTGGGGACAGCAGCACTCTGAGCTTGGGTGGAGCAGACCCGGGCTGTCAGCAGGCTCAGATTAACCCTTTAGTGGGCCGTAGGCCCATTAAACAAACTCCTGGGTCCCTACTTAATACTGTATATTTATATTACTTTTTCACTCAATAATTATAGATTCATAGATGATCAGGGTTGGAAGGGACCTCAATAGATCATCGAGTCCGACCCCCTGCATAGGCAGGAAAG